CCCCCCGGTTCCCGGTTTCCCCCCGGTTTCCGGTTTCCCCCCGTTTCCCGGTTTCCCCCCCCGTTTCCCGATTCCCCCCCCGTTTCCCGGTTTCCCTCCGTTTCCCGGTTTCCCCCCCCGGTTCCCGGTTCTCCCCGGTTCCCGGTCCCGCCGCTCACGCTCTCGGCCGCCTCCCGCAGCGCGTCCCAGCGCAGCCGCGGCACCAACCGGGACACGAAAGCGGCGTTGAACGGCACCGGGCGGACCCGAACCTCGGCGGCCTGCGGGGACCGGGGGGGTTAACGGGGGGCTCCGACCGGACCGGAACCTGGAGGGAGCGGGGGAACCGGGGGGAACCGGGGGATAATGGGGGGTGGAACGGGCGGAACCGGGGAGGTAACGGGAGAACAACGGGATTAACGGGGGCTCCGACCGGACCGGAACCTGGAGGGAGCGGGGGAACCGGGGGGAACCGGGGGATAATGGGGGGTGGAACGGGCGGAACCGGGGAGGTAACGGGAGAACAACGGGATTAACGGGGGCTCCGACCGGACCGGAACCTGGAGGGAGCGGGGGAACCGGGGGGAACCGGGGGATAATGGGGGGTGGAACGGGCGGAACCGGGGAGGTAACGGGAGAACAACGGGATTAACGGGGGCTCCGACCGGACCGGAACCTGGAGAGAACGGGGGATAACGGCGGAGTTAATGGGGGTTACCGGGGGGGCACCGGGTGGACCCGTACCCGGAGGGAACCGGGAGAGCTAACGGGGGTTAATTAGGGGTTAACGGGGGTTAATTAGGGGTTAATTAGGGGTTAACGGGGCTTCTAACGGCGGCGTTAACGGCGGTAACTGCAGGAGTTACCGGCAGAGTTAACGGGGGTAACGCCCGGGGGGAGCGAACGGGGCTGGGGGGTGTGAGCGGTTACCGGGGGTGTTAACGGGGGGGAACGGGGATTAACGGGGCGGCAAATGAGAGAAATGGGGCCGTTAACGGGGATTTATCGGCGGCTAATGAGGGTAACGAGGGGGTTAACGGGGAGCAACCGGCCCGACCCGAACCGCGGCGGGATGGGGGACCGGGGCGTTAACGGGAACGGGGATAACGGGAACGGGGATAACGGGGGTGAGAACTGGGATAACGAGAACGGGATAACGGGAGGGGGACTGGGATAGCGGAGGGGGGGTTAACAAAGGTAACAGACGTGGAACGGGGCCGTTAACGGGGGACTTAACGGGAGGGTTGAACGCGGGATTTATTGAGGGTAACGGGAGAAATTACCGGGCGTTCCTGGGGTTAACGGAGGAGCTACCGGGAGTAACGGGGGAGGTAACGGGAGTGGCGGGAGGTAAATGAGGAGACACCGATGGGAACCGCGGCGGTGCCAGAGGAACGGGGAAGAAGCTGGGAACCGGTAACGGGGGCAGCGTTACGGTTCCGGTAACCGCTAACGGCGAGAGGTGGGGGGCCCTGTCCGGGGCGGGACCCGCGGTGTCCCCGCCGTTCCCGGTGCCCCGGGGTCCCCCCGTGCCCCGCACCTCGATGCGCAGGGGGAATCCGCCCCCGGGCCGCAGCCCCGGCACGTGGGAGCTCAGCAGGTTGTGGGTCAGCAGCTTCATGGCGCCGCTTCCGCTTTCCGGCGCGTCACTTCCGGAAAGAGGCGGTTACCGTGGCAACGGGGCGGGGCTTATCCAGAAATGGGCGTGGCTCGCCGTGCGCTTAAAGGGGCGGGGCTCAATTAAAGGGGCGGGGTCCGTTTAAAGGTGCAGAGACATAAAATTAATTCATTCCTCCAAGACCTCCAAACCATCCCCGAGACCCCTCCCCAAACCCCCCAGGGACCCCCAAAAGCCTTCAGAGCTCCTGAGAGGATTTGAGACCCTTCCCCAAAACCTCTCCAGCCCCCCCTTCTCACAGTCCTGGCCCCCAGGGTGGCCCCATCCCTTTGTTTTGGGGGTCCCCCATGTCTCAGGATCACCCCTGAGGCCCCTCTGGGGACCCCAACCCTTTTTGGGCTGGATTTGCCCAATTTTTAGGGTCTTGTTTACCCCCTCAACAGCCCCAGGATCGTCGCTGAGGCCTCCAAATTCAAACCCCCTCATTTTGGGGTGTCATGGTGCCCTCTTTGGAATCCCCTGACCCCCATTTTCCCTTGGGAGCCCAAATCCTTCCCCTCTCCCCCTATTTTGGGGCACTCCCAGGGGTCTGCGATGCCCCCAAATCCTTGTGGGAACGACACTCAGACCCCCCCTAAAACAGAAACAAAGGTGGGAGCACAAATGCAGTTCATTTATTCAATATTTGGGCGGAACCCCAACAGCCCCCAGGAAAGAAAGAAAAACCCTCAAAATGGAGTTGTGGAGAGAAAGAAAACCCCCCAAAAAAGGATTTTGGAGCAGAGGGAGCAGGATGAAAACCTAAAAAACGAGTGAGGGGAGCTGAGTGCGGGACCCCAGCCAAAATGAGGGCGTGCAAGGCTGGTGAGGGAGGGGGCTCAGCGCACAAGTTTTGGGGTGCTGGATGCAGTTTTGGGGTGCCAAGACCCCCATCCCCGTGAGGATCGTGGGTGAGGAGGGCTGGGGGTTGAGGGGGGTCTGTGAACGGGGGCGTGAGGGAAGGTTTGGGGGGGCTGTGGGATGAGTAGGGGGGGACTGGGGTTAGGCGGGGGCTGGGTTTTGGGGTGTTTTGCGGTGTTTTGCGGTGTTTTCCAGCGCTCGCCGCCATTTCGCCGCCGTGAGGGGAGGGGGGGGGGCGCGCGCGACTCGCCTTTTCCCGCCTTTTTCCCGCCTGAGGGCAGGAAGTGAGGGGGGGAGGGCGGAGCGCGAGACTCGCCCGGCGGGCGCCAGGGGGCGTGACGAGCTCCGTCTCTCGACCAATCGTGACACAGGGGTGGAATTATAGGCGGGGCGAGCTGGGGTTGGACCAATGGGAAGAGGGGCTGGCGCGGGTGGGGTCCGCGGGTGTGGGCGGGGCCAGCGCAGTCGCGGTCGGAGCGCGGTCGGTGACGGTTCGTGTCTGGGCCGGGTCGTTGGCCGGGCCTTGGAGGGGGTCTCTGCGGCCCTGCTGAGGGTGGGAGGCGTGGGGCGGCCTTAGGGGTGCTCCCGTCGCGGTTTTAGTCCGCCCGGTGTTTGTTTTCCTCTCAGAGCTGCTGTGAGAAATGTCCCAGCGGAAGCGCAGCAAAGGGCTTGGCTACTCTCAGGTGAGAGGCTGTTCTCCCCTCATTCTCTCCCATTGTCCCCTTCTCGGTTTCGGTCCCTTCTCTATCATCAAATTGCCCTGCTTCTCCTGTCCTTTCCACTCAGATGACCGATGGGGAGGATGATTTCATCCCGACCCAGGTGGAGCGGCGCTCCCAGGACCAGGTGAACCAGAAGGTGGATTGAGGTGATCCCCTCTCTGCCCGCTCCCGGAGTCCTGTGTCTGCATTCTTTTGATATCAGCCCGCTCTTGGCCTTCCCTGCTCATTCCCCCACAGGTGAGTGAGCTGGTGCAGTTCCTGCTTGTGAAGGACCAGAAGAAGATTCCTATCAAGAGGGCAGGTACGTTTCGGGGAGCCCCCTTCCTCGGTGTTTAAACCCTTAAAACCTTTCTTTAAGCTCAGAGCTCTAGGCTCTCTCAGCATTCCTTTTCTGCAGACATGCTGAAGAATATAATCCGGGAATACCGGGATGCCTACACGGAAATCGTCAGGAGGGCGGACAGGACCCTGCAGGAGGTGGGGGGAGCACGGCAGGGGAAGGGGAGGCTTTTTGGGGCAGACGCCCCGTGGATTAACCCCTGCCTTCCCGCAGGTGTTCGGGCTGCAGCTGGTGGAGATCGACACCAAACGCCACATCTACATCCTCATCAACAACCTGCCCCGTGCTGAGGGCGAGTACCTGTGCAGGTGAGGGGCACCTGGGTGATTTGAGGGGTGGGGGGACCCCATCGGCGTGTCCCCAGCATGGGTGACACCCCGGTGTGTGCCTCAGGGGCAAGGAGAAGGAGAAGATGGGGCTCCTCTTAGTCATCCTCAGCTTCATCTTCATGAAGGGCAACTCAGTCAAAGACAGTGAGTTCTCCCCAGCACCCCGTACCCCACTTTCCCTTTGCACCCCGCTCACTGACACCCCCTTTTCCAGGTGCTTTGTGGGAATTCCTGCACCTGCTCCGTGTGTACCCAGGGTAGGATATGGGGGGGGACACAGGGGGTGGGTGGGGGACAGGGCTGCTCAGTGCCACCCCTCACTGACCCCCATCCCCAGGAAGCAGCACAGCGTGTTCGGGGACGTCCGGAAGCTGGTGACAGAGGAGTTTGTGCGGCAGAAGTGAGTTTGGGGGTCCTGGGTGGTGGGGGAAGGAATTTGGGGTGCAGGGGGTCCCCCCGTCCCTCCCGGTGTGCCCAGAGCAGCCTCGGCGCCAGCTCAGCCGGGCTGTTTATACCACACCGCAGAGTAAAGCCCGCAGCCCCCACACCCCGTGCCTCAAAGGGTCCCTCACGGGGCCAGGGGAGCGCTGGACACCCCCCCTGTGCACCCCAAAACCTGCTGGAGGAGGGGTCACCAGCCAGCCCTCTGCAGGTACCTGGAGACCACCCCCATCCCCCTGACGGACCCCCCCGAATTCAAATACCAGTGGGGGCCACGGGCAGAAAAGGAAACCTCCAAGAAGGACGTGCTGAACTTCGTGGCCAAGGTGAGGCCGTGTTGGGGGGCGGGGGGATCTCTGAGTTTGGGGGGGCTCAATTTGATGCCCCCTCCCCCATTTTTTTCCCCGCTCAGATGCAGGGCAAGGACCCCACATTTTGGGCGAGCCAGTACAGCGAGGCCGAGGCCAACACGGCCACCACCTGACCCCCCCCCAAAATAAAGGCACCCCGTTGGTGTGCAGCCCCCCAATCACCAGGCTCACTGCTTGGTTGTACAAGGTTTAATTTGGGGGTGGGGGCTCCCCTTTTCCCCGTGGGACCCCTCAGAAGTGCTCGGGGACGGTGTTGAGGGCATCGGCCGCGGTGCGGTTGATGTCGACATTCTGTGGGGTGAAAATGGGGGGTTTTGGGGGAATCTCCCCAAAAATCTAACACCCCCTCCCTTCAGTTTTTTGGGGGGGGATTGTCCCCATTTTGGCATGGGACACAGGGGGAACAGCCCCTTTTTGGGGGAATTGTCTCCGTTTTGGGGCAGGACAGTCCATTTTTGGGGGATTCACCCCATTTTAGAGTGGGACATGGTGGGACAGTCCATTTTTGGAGGATTGTTCCCATTTTGGGGTGGGACACACCCTTTTTGGGGGTATTGTCCCCATTTTCTGGAGGGACTCTGGGGGGACAGTCCCTTTTCGGGGGCCTTTGTCCCCAATTCTGAGAGGGACACAAGTCCCATTTTGGGGGGGAGTTGTCCCCATTTTCTACAGTCCTTTTTTGGGGGGATTGTTCCCATTTTGGGGTGGGACACACCCTTTTTGGGGGGGATTGTTCCCATTTTGGGGTGGGACACACTCTTTTTGGGGGTATATTGTCCCATTTTCTGGAGTCACTCTGGGTGAACAGTCCCCATTTTGATGGAAATTGTCCCCATTTTCCGGGAGGGACACAACTTCCCTTTTTTGGGGGAACTGTCCCCATTTTCTGGAGCCACTCTGGGGGGACAGTCCCTTTTTGGGGGACCCCCACTCACCGTAGGCCACGGGGGTCAGCTTTAGCACCGTGTGCAGGGGGCACTTGAGGTAGGGCAGCTCATCTGGGTGGGGGAGTTAAGAGAAACAAGGTGGGCACAGCAGCTCTGGGCTGTCCCCTGGCTGTCCCCAGGTGTCCCCTGGCTGTCCCCAGGTGTCCCCTGGCTGTCCCCAAGGCCTCACCTGCGCTCTTGTCCAGGAAATAAGCCAGCAGGCAGCGCATGACAGCCTGGTGGCACACCACCAGAACGTTCTCCTGCCGCTCCAGCTCCATGATGACTGGCTCCAGCCGCTGCACCAGGTCCTCGTAGGACTGGGGAGGGGGCTTAGGGGGTGTCCCCACACCCCTGCCCCCCCAGATGTGCCCCCGGGGAGGGGGGTTTTGGGGGTACCTCGCCCTTGGGGTAGCGGTAGCGGTACTTGTCCTGGTCCCGCAGCGCCAGCTCCTTGGGGTAACGCTCCTGGATCTCCTCGTAGGTCATCTCCTCACACACCCCCTGTGCCACAGCGGGCCTGGCGGTAATTTGGGGGGTCCCCCAAATTCCCAAAAAGGCTCTGACCCCACCTGGTACCCACAGGGGGACACCCCTGAGTCTCCTAGGTGTGTCCCCACAAGGTGACGTGGCTGTGACCCCACCTGTTACCCACGAGGTGACATCCCCGAGTCCCCCAGGTGTGTCCCTACAGGGTGACCTGCCTCTGACCCTACCTGCTGCCCACAAGGGGACATCCCTGCGTCCCCCAGGTGTGTCCCCACAGGGTGACCTGACTGTGACCCCACCTGGTACCCACAGGGGGACACCCCTGAGTCACCCAGGTGTGTCTCTATAGGGTGACGTGGCTGCGACCCCCTTAGCCCCACCAGGTACCCACGAGGGGACATCCCTGCGTCCCCCAGGTGTGTCCCCACAGGGTGACCTGACTGTGACCCCACCTGGTACCCACAGGGGGACACCCCTGAGTGCCCTCAGGTGTGTCCCTCCAGGCTGAGCTGGCTCTGACCCCCTGTATCCCACCTGGCACATGTTGGGGGACATCCCCCAGGTGTGTCCCTGTAGGGTGACCTGGCTCTGACCCCACCTGCTGCTTGTGAGGGGACATCCCTGCATCCCCCAGGTGTGTCCCCACAAGGTGACCTGGCTGTGACCCCACAGGGGGACATCCCCCAGGTGTGTCCCCACGGGGTGACCTGGCTGTGACCCCACAGGGGGACATCCCCCAGGTGTGTCCCCACGGGGTGACCTGGCTGTGACCCCACAGGGGGACATCCCCCAGGTGTGTCCCCACGGGGTGACCTGGCTGTGACCCCACAGGGGGACATCCCCCAGGTGTGTCCCCACGGGGTGACCTGGCTGTGACCCCCCCCCACTCACGGCGTCGATCTCATTGAGCGCCTTCCACTGCTCGTAGGGCACGCCCAGCGCCTCGGCGGTCTGGATGGTTCTCTTCATGTGGCTCGTCCACACCTTCAGCTCGCGGATGTTCTGGCTGCGGATGAACTGGGCCAGCGCCTGGGCGTACTGGGAGGGCCGGGGAGAAGCGTTTGCCCGCCGGGTGTGGCTTTTGGTGGCCCTCTGGGGACAGCCCTCGCCTCACAGCATGGGGAGCGTGGTCTAAGCCCTGCCCCTTTCTGGGTGTGGCCTGGTTAATTAGCTCCGCCCCGTCATTACCTAAGGTGACACTGCTGGGTGTGGCCTCCTTTAGCACCAGCCCACACGTCACCTGTGTCCCCCAGCCCCACCTGGTGTCTGTGATGGCATGTCCCTGTGTCCCCACAGGTGTGTCCCCACAGGGTGACCTGGCTGTGACCCCACCGGGTACCCACAGGGGACATCCCCCAGGTATGTCCCCACAAGGTGACCTGGCTGTGACCCCACCTGCTGCATGCGAGGGGACATCCCTCAGGTGTGTCCCTGCAGGGTGACCTGGCTGAGACGCCACAGGGGGACATTCCCAAGTCCCCCAGGTGTGCCCCCACAGTGTAACCTGGCTGTGCCCCCACCTCGTACCCATGAGGGGACATCCCCGAGTCCCCCAGGTGTGCCCCCGCAGTGTAACCTGGCTGTGACCCCACCAGGTACCCACAGGGGGACATACCTGCATCCCCCAGGTGTGTCCCCACACTGTGACCTGGCTGTGACCCCACCTGCTGCATGCGAGGGGACATCCCTCAGGTGTGTCCCTGCAGTATGACCTGCCCATGACCCCACAGGGGAACATCCCTGCATCCCCCAGGTGTGTCCCCACAGTGTGACCTGGCTGTGACCCCCCCCTATTACCCCTGAGGTGACATCCCCCAGGTGTGTGTCCACAGGCTGACCAGGCTGTGACCCCACAGGGGGACATCCCCGCATCCCCCAGGTGTGTCCATGCAGTGTGACCTGGCCCCCCCTGTTACCCACAAGGTGACATCCCCCAGATGTGTCCCCACAGGCTGACCTGGCTGTGACCCCCCCCTGTTACCCAGGAGGTGACATCCCCCAGGTGTGTCCCCACAGGCTGACCTGGCTGTGACCCCACAGGGGGACATCCCCACATCCCCCAGGTGTGTCCCCACAAGGTGACCTGGCTGCGCCCCGTTAGGGGCGAGGCCACACATCCCCCAGGTGTCCCCCCAGTGTGACCTGGTTGTGACC